TGTCACTCAGTGGTCTTCTAAGCGTATTTCCCATCCATTTCCCTTTCCTTCTGCAACAGGTTCTTAGGTGGGTTCATTGCATGACATAGTTTAGATATGATATAGAAGATTTGTAGCTCAGGTGGAAAGCACAAAGAAAATCGCCCTGCCATATATAAAGGATATATCAGAAATCACTGCAAGACACTTCAAACCTTTAGGAATTGACGTCACACACAAACCAACCAAATCTCTTCACTCGGCTGGCTCTATATCAGCCAAAAGACTAAACAACGAAAGAAGATAAAACCAACATCATCTACAAAATAAATTGTAACAACTGCGAAAAACGCCACATTAGCCAAAGTGGACGTCTCCTTCGTCTTCGTATCCAGCAACATAAGCTAGCCGTCAAAAGACATGACATCCACTCCCTCATATCCCTACATACAGACAACCACGGACATCAATTCGACTGGGACAATGTTCAAATATTAGACAGAGGAAACAACAAGAATGCTAGAGAATTTTTAGAATCTTGGCATTCCAGTGAATCATCAATCAATAGACACATCGAGATTGACAAAATCTACCAACCGATAAGAAGGAAACCTCACACACACAAAGGGTCGAAGTTCAAATCAAAGAAACAATGAGTGACAATACAAGTAACCTAGAAGGTGTGAAAACAAATACAAAGACAACCAATCACGTCCAAGGTCGCCAGGAGAGATGATTAATAAACTCGTGGAGAAATCTAAAAGCTCACTTCAATTCAAAATGAAGTATGCGCTGAAGATGTCACCTAGTAGGGTGATGAAAGCTTCGCAAATTAACTATCCAACTCAGAGAACACAACCACACCAAAATCATGACATTGTTTCTTGTTGCTGATCATTTCTAGGCGGCCGTCTCATTATCAGTATCTAGGCAGTAAAGACAAGTGTTGACAAAAGTCTACAGTAAGTAGCCTGCTGGAAATGCTTTTCGTGACACAGAAATCTGACATATCGAAACACTGACTAACTGGACATAAGTGTTGAAAATTCAGTTGCCGTCCCTTGTGCTGAGTGTGCGTGTGTGAACCTCCACACTGATTTCAGACTAATGAATGCCTGTCTTGTTTTCCACATCCCGCTTGAGTATTGTTAAAAATCTATCTTGAATTGATATGCTAATCGAAAAGCGGTTGATTTCTCAGTAATCTATTGGCTTTTGATCGATACACTGCACAGGTTTTATTTGCCAATGTATAATATCATTTGTTTATAGTGAATTCAAAAAATACTAATTCTACGAGTAATTGAGCATTATATTTATGACGCCTAAGGCTTTTATTCTTTCATCAACGGATTAAAAGAAATCTTCTGTTCTGTATACATCTTTTCTCAACCTAGACTTTGCTTGTGTATTTTTATAATACGTTGTTATTTCAACTAGACTTGAATATTTTGTAATAATTTTAGCTGTTGTGTTTTATCATTACGAATTCCGGATTGTAATAATTTCATTCCGAGTGGAATATAGGGCTTCAAGCTTGAGTTGTGGTGTTATTCATTTTTACAGGGTAAGGTTGCTAGCCTTAAGCTCAACTTTCCATCTTTTCTGGCCTGACTACCAGCTAAGCGCGGTTGAGCAGTGAGTTGACCGGGAATTGAATAGCAAAACCACCTACATGGTTGGTGAGCATTCTACTTTTGCACCACTGATGCGATAGCCTAGAAGTTTATTTAGTTAATTCAGTTTGATCTATTTATCTTATCCCTAAGTTTATTTTGGTGCCATGGAAGGTGGACCACAGGATTAAGTACTCATATCACAACTAAATGGTTACGGATTCGAATCCTGGATAGTATTTTGGGAAACCACTTAGTTAGGCTGCTTGAACGACTAGAAATAACTCTCACGACTGATATATGCCCATCTATCCTGTCAGACCTGAGCTCTGGTCACAATATCTACTGACTGTTTGGACTGGTCTGCTTAACCTAGTGGCTAGGCTGTTCTTAACACTGTCCCAACCAGTGAAGGGAGAAAATAACACTTAGGGATGCTGACAGGTGTATTTATTAGTGATGATATGAAGAGATTATAGAGATACAAAATCTCACCACAACGAAACTGCCGAGCGTTTGTCCCCTAAAAATCCCGTAGTCCACTCCGTGTTTCAATCTGCACAGACAAACAAAGTGATCGCTGAAGTTTCGACTGATTTGATGAACTTTGTTAATCCCCTACAGTATCATCAGCCCTTACAGAATAACGTGCATAGCTCACAGCTTAGAACACGCAAAATCTGTTCTAGTTAACCGATTATGAGAGAAACTGATACAAATGCACGTGGTAACAAAGAAGTACAAAGTTAAAATTTGGAATAATTTTCAAGAAATTATAAAAAAACTCCATTCCTCTTAGTGTAAATGCCTATTTCTTGTATCTAGCTATATGTAATACAACGAACTAAACGAAAAACTATAGTTGTCCAACAAACATGCAGGCGGAAATCTAAACAGGATTGAACATACGCACTGAGAGAATCATTGATTAACATCACACACCAGACCCTCTTCAAGTGGAAGCCTTGTAGGAAACAAAGAGTTGAAATAATAGAAAAGATTTGTAGCTCAGGTGGATGATTTGCAATTAGTAGTGTTCTCTGAGCTGGTTGGTTTAATTGCGGAGCTTTCTTCGTCCACCTTCTAGACAACATCTTCAGCGCAAATTTTAGCGTAAAAAGAACTGATTTAAATTCTCCATGAATGATAGAATTGTGTCTTGTGGTAACCATCATCTTCATGACTGGTAATTGATTTACATCTACATTGATCATTTTTTATTGATTTGGATTTCGAACTTTCTCGTCACATGATTTACTTTTTATTAGTTGGTAGATTTGGTCTATATTAACATGTTTGTTAATCGCATATTCGCTTGAGTACCAGGCTTCTAGGAATTCTCTGGCACTTTTCGTGTTTTCTCTGTTTAAAATTTCGACATTATCCTAATCAAACTGGTGTCCATAATTACCTACATGCATTGATATGAAAGAATAAATATCGTGTCTTTTTACAGCTAATTTGTGTTCCTGGATTCTGATTCGAAGGGGACGCGCACTTTGGCCGAAAGATCCAATAGAAAAAGAAGATAAAATTAATACCATTTACAAAATAAATTGTATGAACTGTAACAGACATTACATCGGATGTCGAAATTTTAAACAGAAGAAACACGATAATTGAACACCTGGTTAACACTGATCATTCCATCTCAACAAACGCCTCCTACTTCAAAGTAATCTACAGAGTCAAGAATAATCTACCAAAGGTAATAGGGTTTCGTCTTCTTTGTATCGCTGATGCTCTGGTCATTCACATAGAAAAACCGGACCTGTGCGTACAAAAGAGAATTACTCAACCACTTCTACTGTCATGCTAACAAAACTTTGTTGATTTCATTTTGTTTGTTTGCTTGTTTCTTTAATTGCTTATAATTCTCCTATTCATTTAGAACTCTTACGTAATTTCGTATTCTCTACTTTGTTCTAGTTATCCTGAGTAAAACTCAATCATCAAACTATTCATATTATTACATAACCTCTTTTTTAACAACTGTTTGTGACAACTCATCACCTTTGTTATTACCCTAATTTCATTAACACCTAATTTTCTTGACTCATTTTGTATTATGTAACTCCAATTACCAATCTTCACCTGTTTAGTTAAAATAACCATAACCAATTGTAATTTTAATTGAAAGACTTAATGTACACATACATACAAAATAACACATATATATTTGTGATTGTACAGCTAAGAAAATGAATTCGCCGAAAAGAGGCTCTTCGCTGAACTACGTGTTTTGTTTTCATGAAACACGAAAAGTGCCAGAGAATTCCTAGAAGCCTGGTACTCAAGCAAATATGCGATTAACAAACATGTTAATATAGACCAAATCTACCAACTAATAAAAAGTAAATCACATGGCAAGAAAGTTCAAATTCCAGGTCAATAAAAATGTCATACATTTATTCCCCTTAATGAATTTGAACAAAGCAAGAACTACAGTTTTAGCAGAATAAAATGGTACCACCTTTTATTTCGTTGCCTTCTCGTCAGCTGCTTACAGGGCAAAGACATTATTAAATGTATCTACAAAAACAATTTTAACATACTTGCACAGAGTTCATTTTAAACAAAAATCAATCGATCAATATGTGCATACAGTAATTATATATATATATATATATATATATATATATATATATATATATATATTCTGAACAATAATAATCATACACAATGGAAACTTTTCAGCATTTCGCATTCGGATGAAAAATATCCAGTTACCAGGGCAAAGAAAGACTGATAACCGCTTCTTTCTAAACGCACAAATCAGGTTTCAGGCACTTGATGGAAATGGCTTCAGCAAACTTAAGGAGAATTGAGCTCTTTTGCCTACTGATAATTTTGAACGACTTTTTGACGTCCACCTCATGACCCGTGTCGAGGAGATGCCTGGCGATGACACTGACCAATAAAGATGTAAATCAACTAGCAGTCATGAAGATGGTTTCCAGAAGACACAATACTATCTATCATTCATGGAGAATTTAAATCAGTTCACATTACGCTAAAATTTGTGCTGAAGATGTTGTCTAGAAGGTGGCCGACGAAAGCTCCGCAATTGAACCAACCAGCTCAGAGAACACTACTGATTGCAAAACAAAGAGTTGAGCATGTATCCGAGGTTGATATGGAGGAAATCGTCCGAGAAGAAAATGCAAGCTTACGGTTAACCACAGAACCAGCTAAACTGAACATCTGAGATCAAAGTGAAATGGCGATGTGCTGCTAAAGTTCTCATATTCCATTAAGAACACCCATGGGAATAATAAAAATAATAATTATAATAATTAAATATATAAATGTAATACATGCGAAAGTAGTAACAAAGTAGTATTTAAAATCTTATACAATATGATAATTCTTAGTAAAATAAACTCAGTTTACTGAAATTTTCTACACCAAAATAGTCATGCGCATTATCAACACAGTTCAAAGAGAGAATGTTATTCCCATTTTACAGTCTCAGTTGTCTATCAGTACTGTCTATATCAAATCAACGTTTACATTGTTCCATATTTATCCATCGTAATTTCAATTGTTCACTTGTAAGATCCAATCTACAATCAATTTTCATGACATTGAAATGTAGATAAATTTTATTCGATTGATATATTTTAAGTGTTAGACAATTGTTCAACTTTAGTATTAATGGTTGAAATGGCGGTGCATGCGTATGCATCTCTCCAGACCATTGCCATTTACGTAATTTACCATTCTCACCAAAGTATACACCATCTCTGGGATTATATTCTAATCTGTACCAAAAAAAAGGAGAAGAAGGGAATAAACAAATTTTCAAGTAATGATTTATAAGGAATTCGATTGACTGTAAACGTCGGATCATAAACTGATATCACAGTTAGTATACCATTAGGAAACTATAAAAAAGTACTGGGCACCTGTTTCCTCCCAGTATGGGATTGATTCTTTAGCATTAAGCATCCATGACCCCCACCAGAGGTCGAACCCAGGATCTTCAGGTTATAGGTCAAGCTCGTTGGCCATTCAGTCAATGGGTGAGCATGAACGGATTAATTTAATGCCTAAAACTAATAACGCAAATAGAATATATAGTAGTATTAAAATACATAAGACCAGTAGTACATTTCAGAAATACGCCTACTTATGAATTATCAAACCACTTAGCTCTAATACTATATCTCTGGGCTAACTGATTCATATGAGATGAAAGATAAACTAAATGACATTCAACTAGAGAATAATGAAACAATGGTTAGTTTTGAAATAACCAGTCTTTACACTAATATACCAATCAACATGGCCTTAGAAGCAGTTAAAAAAAGAACTAACTGCAGATATTGAACTCACTCATAGGACAAAGCTGCCTATTGAGAAAATTATTTTAGGAATTCAGTTATGCTTCACATCTACTGTCTTTAAATTCCAAGGCAAAATATATAAGCGAACAGATGGTGTAGCAATCGGAACACCAATATCTCCTATCGTAGCAGATATCTTTATGGACATGAAAAGATTATCTGTGTTCGATCATAGGTGTCTGCGTTCTATCTCCCGCGTGAAGTGGTATAATAAGGTGAGCAATATTGAGGTTAGGCGTCGAGTGCTAGGTAAGGAGGGGAAATCAATCGACGAGACTGTGAAATTACATCGACTGAGATGGTTAGGACATGTGTTACGTATGCCTGGTCATCGCCTTCCTCGATGGGCAGTGTTAACTGATATAGGTTCAGGCTTGAAAAGAGCTAGCGGCGGTCAAACCAAAACACGGCACCAATCAATGAAATCCACAACAGTTAGTCTAAGCCAGTCACGTAGGAAGATGTAGACTTCCTGGTTGGGGTCCTCGGGACGGTAAAAACCAATGGTTGGAAACAATTGGTGACATGGCTCAAAATCGTTCTCAATGGCTGGCGCAGATGCATCCACTCCTTGTGACTTATGATTTCCAATGAAACTGTTTTGTTCTTCGTTATTACTATTCCTTTGTCTCACACCTCTGTTTACTGTCTATACTATCCATTTCTTCTACTTTCTCCTCTTGCTTTGTGTGCTACATGGAGTGTGGCGAATTGAACTGCCGCACATCAGTGCAAAGTTCTATGTCGAAAACCGACTGACCGACCGACCGATCTTTATGGACAGCTGTTCTTCATACATTTAATCCTACTCGAAACATGGTGGAGATATGTGGATGACACTATCACAGTGTTAAAAACAGACACATATATACTCACTAGTAAAGGGAATAAAATTCACATTTGAATCGAAAAATGAACAAGGAGAATGATAGGACCCAGCATGAAATAGTATACCATCCTTTCCCACGAATCCTGTGGTTTATCTTGTGATAGAGCTACTATGTTTATGTATCATTTCTCACGCATATTGTGATTTAGTGTGTGTGAGATCAATTCATCGTCTTTCGTCTCACCTTGGTCTTTGTAAGATCACCAACCAATCAGAATAGACATATCCAGACAATAATCAGAACAGAACATTCTCACAGTTGTGAGCCAACTGTATTGCGATAAATTGTGATAAAAGTCACAGGCCAGCCTTTGTCTTTTGATATTTGTGTGGTTCAGTGAATCGGAAGGTACAACGGACAAATAGACGTATTAGCGTACCAGTCGAGTTCATTACCGTTATAGTAATTAACAGGCGCAGACATAACAAAGTAGCGACGGATATATTCAGATCAGTTCAGTTATAACAAACTGGCGACTAATAAGTTCCGTTCAGTTTTAACAGAGAATTTGCTATGTTAGATTGTAAAATAAGACGAACAGAAGAAGGTAAACTGCACACTAGCGTTTATAAAAAAGCCAACGCATTCTGCTAATAGATATTTAGACTTTAATTCATCTCATCCGTTAACTGTTAAGGCAGGCTTAGTTAAATGTCCAACAAACCGAGCAATAACAACACTAAGTAGTACAACAAAAAAACCTAAACGATGAAATGAAACAGATAGAAGAATAGCTGGTTGGTGTTAAATAACTAACTATCCAATAAAATGCATTAGGAATATCAAAGAAGGTCAAGAGCAAAATAAAAATAATGTTGGAACTAATAATGATAACATAAATAAGAATTATGCATAAAAAAGAGAATTATTCAACCACTTCTACTATCATGGTAACAACTCTGTTGATTTGACTTAACTTTTGTTTGTATGCTTATTTTTTTCTAACTACTCAAAACTCTTGCGTAATTCCGTATGTTATTTTGTTTCCATGTTCACCCTGAGCACAACTCTTTCATCAAACTATTCATGTTATTACGTAACTCTTCTTTAACAATCGTTTGTGACAACTCATCACTTTTTTTTACTACCCTCTTATATCAACATCCAATTCATCTGAACTTACTAATTGTATTTTCGTTTGGCAAATTTAATTTACACACACATACAAAACAACCATATATATTTGCGACTGTACAACTATGAAAATGAATTCGCCGAAAAGAGACGCTTCGCTGAACTACTGGTCTTCTGTTTATACATAAGAAAGAATATAAGGTATCTACAGTTTTACCATATACGCAAGGGACATCTGGAACCCACTTAGTAGGATTCTCAATAAAGCAGGAATTAGGGTGGCATTCAAACCTACAAACTCACTCAGAGAGAAGCTCTGTAGTCTAAGTGACCAGATGGATCCAATTAAATAAAAATAATATGGTTTGCAAAATATCTTGCAATCACTGTAAGTCAACTACTTAGGTCAAACTAGTAGATCAGGAGAAATCAGATTATTAGAACATAAGAATTTAGCTAAGGTAAGAATGATTGATCCCACGAAAATAAGTAATTTAGAAGACACTCAGCAATTGCACTGCATGCATTAACACACAACTACACAATAGGGTGCAAGATGGTTAAAATTCTGAGAAGTAATATAGGCAGGTGAAAAGAAAGTTTGATTATTGAATCCTTGCTCATGGAGTCTACACCCAACACATGCAATAGAAGTGGCTCAAAGCAAATACCAGAGGTATGGAAGATACTATTACCACCAGTCAAATCAGAGAAGGATAATAAATAATGTTAAAATGTATTCAATTTACATTGTAACATTCTAACAAGTTACTTATTTTTGCTGTAAAAAACATCTTATTTCCCATCTGATTATATGTTATTATTAACACTAATATTATTTCATACATTTATTCCCCTTAATGAATTCGAAAAAAGCAAGAACAACGGTTTTCGCAGAATAAAACTGTACGATCATTTGTTTCGTTGGCTTCTCATCAGCTGCTTACAGGCTAAAGTCCTTATTATTTCTGAATTTACTTTACCTTATATTGATTTTATTTAAATGTCTAATCAGTTTTTACTAATGTATATAAATGAAGCAAGAAAGTTGTGTGAGTGCCTTGATATGATTGTTATGAGTGGCCATAATAATTGTGCTGGAAACGTGGCCATCAGTAAATATTACTTCATAACACTATGTGATTTTTCAAAATTATAATTTTATTCACAATGAAAGAATCCAATGGTCTTTTTTCAAATCTAACTTCAGCCAATTTGCGATACACCCGAAGTGTCAAGTTCTCTTTTGTTAATGAAATATATGAACAAAGGGATGGCATAGCTATGGGTTCACAACTAGGCTCACTACTTGTAAATTTCTACATGCTGAAACCCAAAAGCACACACTTAAAGAGAATGATTGACACCTTTGGGTTTTACAAGAGATAGTGAAGAAAATTGGGAAGATGTCCTGGGTTTTTCAAACAGCTGTCATCCTGCGATCCAGTTCACATCGAAGAATGAGTTCGATTCAAGAATAGTGTTTCTTGAATTTCAACTCACAAGACATGAACAAAATGGAATACAGAAAAGATTTAACGATGGAAAGCCAACAGGTAACCAGAAATTCACAAACTTCCATAATTAAATGTCTTTATATATAAGACGAAACTTGATCCGTTCATTTAACCTCAGAATCCGCAAAATTTGAAGTCCTGACACCATGGAAGACGAGTTGAACACTCTAGAACGGATTCTCATGGGAAATGGCTACCCCGAACGCTTCATTAAACCACTATAGATGCTCACATTTTCTGCTATTAAAGACTTCTCTGTCCAAATCTAAAATTCAGTGGAAACTCATTACCAGAAATACTGAGAAAGCGCTCGCCCTATTCATTGAAGAAAAACTTCTTCGCAGTTGAACCTCAAATCACTTTCTCTACAAAAATAATGATTCTGATGAATGTGAAGAATTAGCTATCACTACTGACCTCATTAATATGTACCTATCAGTTCGTCTGCTCCTGTGGAGCTAGGTATGTTGGCCATATTCAGCGTTTGCTGTCCACACTTATGTCTTCAGATATGCGGACAAAAACTCTTCTCTCTGTTCTTCCAACGTATGCACTTTAGCATGTATATTTAAATTGCTAGACGCAGTTGGAGGTAACATGAGGTGGGAGTTTGTCCACTTTCGACTGTCTTAAACACCAGGTTGTTTGATAAACACATATAAGTTTGGCACCTGGATATGTTCTTTTCAGGGCAACGTTCAGTCTGCATCTTATTCTACTAGCAGTATCGTCACCTTTGAAGACAGGCTGCAGAAAGATGGGTTTTTTCTCTACTGTGCTGTACTTCACCTTGTCAAGACTACTATGCAATCCTATTCAATTTCATCATAGATGTACTAATGGACTTAACCCTAACTCACTTCGGCGACTCAGGGATTGACTTGCTACCAGGGAATAATCTCGTTGACTTAGAATATGCGGACGATATAGTCCT